GTCGACCAACGAAGGATAAGTCACCTGAGTTGGCCTCCTCAATATGCATTTAAAAATGCAGCTGCTCGTGTTACGACAGCTATATCGGGCGTACTACCTGTCAACTTAACCAACGAATGAATGAACATCTAATAGCTTAGTCCATAAAGGGCCAGATAAATACAACACACAGTTCTATCTTGGCATATCTTATTCATGGCGGTCATACTGTAGACAAATCGGAAGCATTTTGTGTAATCTATCATGCACCTCCATCGTATCCCAACGGAGTTTGTTCCCGCCTCCTACATATAGCTGAAGCCATAGGAATTCGTACATATAACCCAAATTTATGTGTACAGAAGAAATTCGTAATCCCCCTATCCCTTTTGTGTCAAGTTATATATTAACAAACGACTTTTATTTTTTGATTGAGATCATGAACCGATTGATGTTAGACCACCACCTTTGGAAACCTGGAAGCACTGGACGGTCGTTTCGTCCTATTGTGGGACTCCTCAGCAGTGCGCATCCACGATCCCGCTCGCGGGATTCGAACCCAGGGCCTCCGGTCTCGCGCGCGAACGCTTAACCAACTGGACCACTGAGCCGACATCCAATGATGATAGTGTCTAACATCAACCAATCCACGAAATTTCGCGACCAACTTCCATTGTACTGAGGTAGATACCTGTCTCTGCCCGACATGGATTAGCTCCACTGATCACGGCTTCTCACTAGAACTCCGAGAATTCCCTCACGCAGCTAGTCACTAGTGAGCACATGTTGATTACTAGTATAGGGGTTGTGGAGATTATTACGTTTTTGATTGAGATCATGAACCGATTGATGTTAGACCACCACCTTTGGAAACCTGGAAGCACTGGACGGTCGTTTCGTCCCATTGTGGGACTCCTCAGCAGTGCGCATCCACGATCCCGCTCGCGAGATTCGAACCCAGGGCCTTCAGTCTCGCGTGCGAACGCACGATCTCAATCAGAAATGTAATAATCTCCACAACCCCTATACTAGTAGACTTTTATTTTGTTATCACTGACCTTATATCCATATATTTACTCAGTTCTTATTATGTAATGGTTTTAATGTTTGGTAATGACTATTGTAATTCTATTTATGTACGTTGGACCTTCTATTTCCAATGTTTGACTATTTGATATGACTTTTGTTATCGTATTTTATTTTATTATTCTTATTACTATCAGTACATCTGCCTTCCTATTATCAATTTGCATTTTTACTTATTATGTGTGGTGACTTCTTCTATTTCATTGTGATTATTGACCCATATTGCCTTGATTGGTTTAACATTCTCGTAATAAATATTCATGTATATTAAAAATGCAGCTGCTCCTGTTACGACAGCTATATCGGGCGTACTACCTGTCAACTTAACCAACGAATGAATGAACATCTTGGTGGAGTTTTGTTCTCTGAGCTGGATGGTTTGGTCGTGGAGCTTTCATCGTTCTTCTGAACGACTTCATCAGCACAAACTTCAATCAATTGTCTCAAACTTGACTGTTCCTTCATTTTCATACCAATTGCTTTCTGTTCCCGTTCTTTCCTCCTCGATCTTCTGCTGTGAGACATTCTATTCATGACTATTATTACATACTACTTGTGTCGACATAATTAGCACACACCACACCAACTAGTACCTCAGTGCCGAGCCCACGTCGGCGTCCCCAGAACAGCACCCCTCCCGTCCTTGTGGTTGGTAACGATACCATATATAGTGAAAGAAAACACAAGTGGGGGGTAATTGCATGTATTTGAATACAAAATTACAGAATATCTTAGTAAAATCTGAGAATCATACAGTAAATACTTCATTTGCAAAATGTCAATCAATCGTCTCAGACTTCATTGTTCTTTCGTTTCCACACCGACTATTCCTTGTTCTCTTTTCTTCGATCTTCTTAACATTCTGCCGCCAGTTATTTCACTTTCGATTGATGATACATACTACTTATATCTATCGGCATTAATAGCATACACTACAGTATTACTGAAGCATTTCAGCTAATAAAACTATCATATATTAACACTTGAAAAATTCGAATTCATATCGTTTACTATTATAACTGGATAGCATGGATAGGACAATATTATGAATGATTCCTCAACACTACGGGGTATCAGAGAATATAATCAAAATCATACGGAATACTTATGATGGATTAAACTGCAAAAATGTGCATGGAGGTCAGCTCACAGACTCGTTTCAAGTAAAGACCGGTGTCAAGCAGGGTTGCTTACTCTCACCCTATCTCTTTCTTCTGATGATCGACTGGATTATGAAGACGTCAACATCTGGGGGAAAGCACGGGATACAGTGGACAGCTAGTATGTAGCTGGACGATCTAGACTTCGCAGATGATCTGGCTCTTCTATCGCACAAGCTACATCAAATGCAAGAGAAGTCGACCAGTGTAGCAGCAGTATGTCTCAACATACACAAAGGGAAAAGCAAGATTCTCCGATACAACACAGAATGCACCAACCGAATCACACTTGATGGAGAAGATTTGGAAGATGTAAATACCTTTATATGCCTGGGCAGCATCATTGATGAACACAGTGGATCTGATGCAGATGTGAGTATGCGGATCAGCAAAACAAAAGCAGCATATCTGCAACTGAAGAATATCTGGAACTCAAAACAACTGTCTGTCGACCAACATCAAACTCAGAATTATCAGTACAAATGTCAAGACAGTTCTACTGTACGGAGCGGAAACTTGGTGACCTACGAAAGCCATCATCCAGGATATACAAGTGTTTATTAACAGTTGTCTACGCAAAATAATTTGGATCCGTTGGCCAGACGCTCTCAGCCACAACCTACTGTAGGAGAGAACAAACCAGATTCCAGCGGAGGAAGAAGCGCTGGAAGTGGATAGGACACACATTGAAGAAAGCACCCAACTGTGTCACAAAGCAAGCCCCCATTTCGAATCCTCAATGCCAAAGGAAAAGAGTAAGACCAAAGAACACATTACGCCGAGAAATGGAGACAGACATGAGAAAAGAATGAACAACAATTGGAGAGAACTAGAAAGCAGAGCTCCGGGTGTGGCCCCCTAAAGAAACCATCTACTTCGGTTCGGGTACCCAGGGCAGTATCCCAACCCTCACATGAATCGAATGATTTATGTGGTGCATAACTAATTGATGCCTCCTTGTACCAATGTTTATGTGATCAAATAAAATATTTTTTTCAATCATAAAATTAGCACTCACATTATAAGGGTTAAAAAAATTTGACTTATTGGAAAACCCTCTTTAAAACTTATGATTTGTAAAGTCGATTCACTAAAGAAAAACAGCCTTAGTCAATATTAATCAAGAAGTTAGCGTTGATGATGTTGTTCACAAGGACGATGAGAACTCCATAATCAAACTATCCCGCGTAGAGAACGAGACTCCATCAAAAAGAAAAAGAGTTTAGTTAGTGTTTATTATGAAAATACAGATTGTATGTATGTTCTATAATACATGAAAACTCTATTGGATATTTCACCTTAAGAAGTAAATTGCCTTTCTTTATTTTTTTTCTATAGCCTTGTACAGTTACGGCAACCTGGTACAAGGGAACTGCTTATGTGATTAAATTTGACGAGTCCGTGAATATTCGTGAAAGACAATTGGATAATCGATGAATATAATTCATATTAGGCTAGGTTGTATAAAAGCTTTATCAAGATCTGATGAATAACCTAACTTTCCTGTGATTCTCCACTTACTAAATACATTGATTTTTACATCAATTTTCTACAAATATTTTATTTGTTACCGAAAGCATTTGAATACTAGGGATTTCAAGATTTATAGTACGTTAATACAAATGTCAGTTCGAAAAGGAATGGTATCGATTTATGTCATAATTACTTAACCCTGAAAAACACAGAATCGATGATAGTCATCGTAAAGTCATGGGATGTTAACATTTCCGGTAGTACATTGTACACTTGTGTATTCAAACCGCTCATATGCAATAAATGTATGTCAATATTGAACGAGTTAGTTTTTGGTTGAGGCAACGGATACAGTTAGTGTAGGTTTCATTTAAAACATGTTGATCCGCATAAACTACCGCTACTACTACTCTACGCTTGTTCTCTTAAAATTGACCATTTAGAAAGGTGATTTCAATTAGCGAAATATTATCACCGATCTCTTTCAAGCTGTTATTTTATATATAATGCTGTCGATAGAAAGCCTTAATCAGTAATAACGCGAAAACACTTTTCCGAATCAATCAACTAACATATTTGCTAAGTTTATTTATGATGATGTTAGACGCAGGGTATTAGGGAATGACGGTAAATCACTTGATGAGGTTGTTAATCTTCACCAACTGAGATGGTTGGGCCACGTGTTGCGTATGCCTGAACACCAATTACCACGACGTGCAATGCTGACCAGTGTTGGAGATGGTCGGAAGAAAGTTTGGGGTGACCAAACGAGAACGCGGCATCAGACTATAAAGTCACTAACTTCTGGTCTGAGCCATGTTGGTAGATGCAGACTATCTTAGCCAATAATTGGATACTTTGAGTGACATGGGCCAGCAGTGGAATCCAGGACGCGCATTTCGTCCTATTCGGGATGTACCTGCATCCTAGAGTTGATGTTGTTTGCTTATAATGTTAGTGACTCAAGGCAATATCGAGGTAGTCTGCACAGGATGCACATATGACAATAAGAGATTGGTCAATTGCAGTCCTAAACACCAATAGGAAAATTCGAACAAACAATACAAAATGAATTTATACTTTATACCTTTTCTTCCTACGAACTAATTCTTTCTTCCTGTATCACATCCTAAGATGCAATCTTTTCTCTATACATTACCACCATTGAATTAGCTGCTTCTATGAATTTGGTGTTCATCTTGTTGTGCTCAATAAGGTACGGCAACTTAAACCGACGCATATATGTGCCTGGTCCTACACTCGAAGATGACTAACTGTCTCAAAAATAAAAGATACTGATTTAACATAAATAGGTTATTATTATTGTTTGGAAAACTTTTTAAGAAATGTGTACACCAACACTGAAAACATTGTAGAAAACAAAATGTCTACCAATTGGGTTGTGCATTGGCCAAACGACGCATTCGTCTAGGGAACGGAAAGAAAAATGCATGGTGAAAATGAGGATACGATAGGTATATAAACTTTTAAACATGAAAAATGTGTGGTTGACGAAATAATCCAAATAAAGTTTAGATCAAGTAATCTGCTAGGAGTTTAGATTAGTTGAAGTAACTTTTTCGTACGAACTGAGCAAACTTTCATATCAGACTCATACATAGGAGAATCAGTCAGTCAGCAACAACGTAGAACTTCGTACATACGTACATCAGTTCACCTTGACATACCACATTAGCACAGAGATGCAACTGTCAGTTCAAATCACATAGTGGTAGAGGTAGTAGGATCAGAAAGATTAGAGTTTGAAGACGTTATTCAAGGAGTACACTCCAGTGAAATAAATTTGGAAGGAGAAAAAAAGGTACATGAAGAATTCAGAAGATTAAAATTCTGGAGAACACAGAGAGCGGATGCACCTGCTCACAGCATTGAAAACGATTTTGAGCCATATCATTCGAGGTGTCTAACCATCGGTTGCTATCGTCTCATAGATCCCAACCACGTAGTCTATACCTACCAACATGGCTCAATCCACTTGTCAATGACTTCATGAATTTGTGCCATGTTATTAAGTCAGCTGATCGCAATTTTGTTCTACGTATAGTTGTTTAAAATAAGTAGTGTGCATGATTATTTATGATCATAAATGATTAATAAATCTGAATGGGCCTTTCTTCATTGACAGTACAACATTTTCACTAGTAGTAATAGATGCCATATCACAATCTAAACGAGTATTTATGGTATGTTTAGGAGTATATAATAGGAACTAACAACAAAACATGCCCAAAATAAATTTGAAACTCATCAATAAAAGTGAATCTAGTTGACTTTACTTCTCATTCGACATAAATTCGAAAGATAAAAATGAGAACAATGTGCTTGTTTGTTTGTCTGAACCGATGATAAGTGAAAACAAAGGACTAAATTTTATAATTAACAGTATAGGGTTGTGGATATTATTAAGTTTTTGATTGAGATTATGAATCGATTGATATTAGACCACTATTGAAAACCTAGAAGTACTGGACAGTCGTTTCGTCCTATCGTGGGACTCCTCAGCGGTGCACATCCACGATCCCGCCCGCAGGATTCGAACCCAGGGCTCTTAGTCCCGCGCGCGAACGCCTAACCTCTAGACCATTGAGTCAGCGTCAAATAGTGTTAATGTCTATCCTCAACCAATCCACGAAACTGCGCAACCATCTTCCATTGTACTGAGGTAGATACCTATCCCTACCCGACACAGATTAGCTCTACTGGTCACGGTTTCTCACTACAACTCCGGGAATCCCCTCACGAAGATAGTCACACAAATGTAATCAATCTGAGCTATTTTTTCCGTCCATCAAAATTCATTCAGTTGTTTACATAAAATGTAGAAAGGAAAAATTAACAATGATATGTCTATCAAACTTCTATGCTTGACGAGATTGCAAATTCACCTAATCTGTGAACAGAACAAAGACTCAGTGATACAATGACCAATAAGCTAGCTATCCCGATGTGTCCCAACCCTGCTAACTAGAAAGAGGAGTCCACATTCAGAAGAGGGAAATATATTCCACAAGCAGCTAGAAGCACGAACAACAACAACAAGCACAACTCAAGTATATATATCCAGCATAAAGATGTCCTTGGGGAACGTTACAAAATAGCATAGTGAAAGAGACAACGAACCAATAGCGTTTAAGGTCCTCCCAAGTGGGAAATATGGCATGAAGGTGAAAATGGGTGCTTATGGCGCGAAAACAAGAAACTCAAAATAGAATTACAAAAATAAGGCATTTACCAAGTGGGTTCTGGGGATCTAACATCCCCAACAGCTACTAAACATAGTATATTCAAATTAACCAGTATTGATCATTTTCTGTACCGCATGGTGTATAGTGAGGAATGTGAAAATATCACAATTTCAACGGCAAGACTATTATTTATGGAAGAACCAATCAGATTTAGGTTATCAGGTCTTGGACTATGGCGCAAAATTCATTCACTTATTTGGTTAAATACTACTTTGACATTATAGCTGATGTCATTTCGTGATAAAAACCATAAGTCTAATTCCTAACCTTAATCATCAACTGTAAATCATAATTCTAATTCCCCATACTGGTTTATAACTCTCATTTAGACCTAGCTATTATGTGGACATCATCTTAGAGTCGGTCAAAGGTTGCCCGTATATTATAGTCCCATGTCAAATTTGCTCGATTCACAAGGCTATTAAACTTAAAGATATATTGTGAATTCAACATATGTTGATTTGTCAAACTCAAAGGACTTCCTTTTACTATGCATTAATGATTTATTTGATTGTAACTTTCTATGGTTGGGGCTATAGTGATGCTTACCTGGTATTACGATCTTGATCGCGTATCTTTTTCTCCATTTCTGCATCCGTAAGAACTTCAACAACTGGACTCCATTGATCAGCTTCATTTGAATTACGGAAAACTATATCGACTGTCGGTAAAGGAGATTCACTGGAAGAGTAAAAATGAAACTTAAAAAAGTGTTATAACATGTAGTTATGTAAGCAGTTCATTGTATCATTTGGGAAAAGCCGAGAGTTATGTAATTGCTTGTCAAGTTGTGCATTCTACACACTTTAGATGTCAATGAGTGTTATATGAAGTTTTCACCATCTTCTTAAACAAAATGATCAGCACAAATGTAAATCACTACACATGTACTAGAATAACAATAACATAACAGTATCATAGATGCTTTAAACAGAGATGGATGGTGGCCCCACGTTTCGTCTTACTTGGAACTCGTCAGCTGAATGTACCTACGATTCCTAAATAGAACGAAATCTGGATCCTGGATACCACTGCTCACCACAATCTATCTCTGCTTTAAAGACTTGTGACTTAGTGGCAATATCGAGGCAATCCGCAATTATGCCAATAAGATACTGATCATTTGTAGTTCAGTTAATCTGTGAACAGGTTATTTTATATTTTTCGAACAGATATGATCTGAGGAATCTTAGCGCTTTATATAATTCTCGGTAATGATAAACAGACCCTGTACTTGACTTAGACAGATTCTGTGTATGTAAAGTGGGGTACCAGACTATCTAAATCAAAATAGTAACTAGACTATTTGTTTTACACTGTGAAATACCATAGTAACTATTAGTGTGTCTTGTCGATAATTTATGACCTTCTGTATAACGTATCAATGTAATGTACCATATCATAGTACTGATCAATATAAGATTATCCTGAATACATCTACAAACAGTGTACAATAGTGAACCAATTGAAATCTTAACAGTTATGATAGAGGAAATTGTTAAAAACAATAGAATGGTATTACTATTATGACTGATGAAAGAACACACACAAACTATACTTAGGCTGTTGAAAAATACAAAATATGCTATGTGTGTGTGAGTGAGTGAGTGAAAAGGTAGCCAGAACATCATTCATATTATAAAATCAAACAAAGTAATTACCTGAAAGCATAAATTTTCTGATGCCAAGCAAGTTGTCCACGAATACTATAAGCAACAGCTGTAACAAATTCTCCACCTAAACCTAATTCAGCACAAAGTCTTGAAGCAAATTGTTCTGGTGAATTATTTGGTTCAGAAAGATCCCATTCAAATTGATCCACTAAAGAAATATTGCCTACATGTATATTTAAACGAATAATAACTCGTGTATCAGTTTGTCCAACTAGAAAATCATTCATGGGATGAGCATCAATCTGGAGGGGGGGGTTTCAAAAAGGAAAAAAGAATTTACCGAAGACAATATAAAGAAGTTTTTGTGGAGATTTAACGGACAAAGATACTTATATTAAAGGGAAAAGAGAACCACTGGAAATACAAGATACATTAAGCAGTCGTGTGTTTTTGTTCAAAAATCGGGATATTGACCACATTAAACGATTAAGTTCAGATCTAATGATGAGTGTGTTACCATTAAATATGACTTGTTTTTTTAAAAATAAACTGAGTGTATATCATGGTGTATGCTACTTATGTCTGTCGACATAAGTAGTATGTAAAACCGATCGGAAGTAGAAAACCCTGGCAGCAGAAGACCAAGTTCAAGAGAATAGAAAAGAATTACGAATAGGAGGAATCATACAGAATGTAAAGGACGAATGATGAAAGTATTCAATGTATGATTTTCATATTTTACGAAGATATTCTGTAATTTCATATTAAAATACATTGGTTATCCCCCACCTATGTTCTTGATCACAACGTATCTGGCAAAATGAAGTTTGATATCACTCACTAACATGATGAGAGAATCGAAATATTTTGTGTTTGTCACGTTATATCTGCTACTACTATTCTATGATTTTATGACCGGTAGGTAGCTGAGATTATATTATCGCTTGATTCGATAATCAATTGACATAATATGCTATACACAGATTGGATCACTGTATACCAGATAAACAATTCACAACCAAATATAGAGAAATAGAGCATAGATAAGACAATACTTTATCTAACTCAATTACAATCAGTCTACAATCTGTAAGTTCAGAGTATAAATCAATGATAAGAAAGGAAATTACAAATTAAAATAGACAATAATCCGTATTTATCTGTTCATGCTCAGTAGCTGGTCATATGTTGCTTTCATTAAGCACATATCACTTATTTAGTAAGTACAGTTGCTTTATTCACCCAATTTTAAGAATAATATATGTGGTAAATTAATCAATTGAGATAGACAAACTTATACCAAAGAGATTGTGATTTCTCTGTTAACAAACATATTGAGATAAACGAGGCAGTTTGACCTAAATATGTAACTTAGCTATACAGAAGGAAGTATCTGTGTATGCTGACTATGTATATATGACCTGAGAAGTTCAACTATTCTAAACATTTGAATTAAATTTCATTAAGGATTTCAAGAATTTAATCATCAATCCAATATTCCCTATATATGTTGCTATAAGGTATTTTATTATACTATCAAACGTATGATATAACCATTGAGTACAAGTAATAATATTATATTAATACGATGTGATGAAATTAGCAAGATAAATAGTGAATGAGTCGAAATAATACCACCAAATGCCCTGGTACGGCCGAGGGTGGGGAAAGTCCGCTCTCTCTCTCTCTCTCTCTCCAAATGCCCTCACATGGTCAGGGAAGTCCTACTCACTGCCTTCTCGTGGCGGGGGTGTTATTTACGAAATCGACAACAACACGTACAGGTAAATAATATACTCGCTACCAGTAAGCCTGACTATGATACCTAGACTCGCAGAGACAAACTGTTTGAACTTGGTTGGCATGTAAAACCTTTCTCCTGCGAAGCTTTTCTGTTTACGTTCACCTATCAGTTGGTATAACGATATATTATAATTATAATATCTTTAACTGTGTAATTCAGGACAGGTTCCGCCTTCAGACGATTATATCTAATCTCTACCTTCATGATAGAGAGATATAGTCGAAAATATAGAGAAATAGATTTGCAAACCAGCGACGATGAGTACCTCGGATGAGAGTGGAGTAAATGATTGAAGTAAAATTAACAACAGCTGACCGTCACGAAACAAGAACGATTCAAATCCTAATCGATATATAGGACTACGTTCGAATACTGAATTATATTTATGATACTATTTAGCCTTTATGATTGCGGCTTACACTCAAAGCAGTGGAGTTATGGATGCGCACTGTTGAGGAATCCCATAATAGGTTTAAATAACTTTGCAGTGCTTTCTACCTGTCTAACTAAGGTTACACTATGACGTAAACTATAAGATTTAGAGATCTCTCACAAACATCTATACCAACCAAAACCATATTATTTGATTACAGTAAGAAACTCTTAGCACAAAATATTGCACTGTAATAAGTTTCCTTATGACTGTATAAAATACTACACTTTTTTTACCTGTTGTCTCATAGCATTCACAATAGCTGGAACAAAATTTATTGGATTCAAATCTAAATCATCACAAAGTACTTCAGCCATTTGTTCCAATGTGATTAATTGTTCATTACGATTCCACGTAAAACAATCACGTAGTTTAACACCATCACATTCTATATCTAAACGAATCGGTACTAAACATTCCGGTTGACGTGCGTTCTCATGAAATGCAATCGGATCAGAATCATCCAAACAAAAAGGAAACGTAAATGATTTACTTGTCTGTCTGGCTACAATATGAAAATGGGAAGAAAGAAAGAAACAAGGTGTATTGTTAAGATTTTTAAAAGTCACAGACAGGTAAGTATAATCATAGAGAATCTTACGTAGTATCCCTGCACTGAATGAATGGGATAACCGGGTGTCGCCGGCTTTTAATTCTGCCCTCAAATACCCCGTTAAAGTCAAGGATGGAGAAAGTTCGCTCTTCCTTTCGAAATACTCTCAAATGGTCACGCGTATTGAGACACTAACAGAGAAGTCTTACTCATCGCTTTCCCGCGGCAGCGTTGTTGTTTACGAAATTGAAAGGACAAAAAACAAATTTCCGGCGCGTTAACTGGGTTGGTGGGTAAGGATCCACCTGGAGGATTTGGAGAACCCTCATTCCAAACCAATGGAGCATACGGGCTCCAGGATCCTCAGGGAGCAGATGGCGTATGAACTTATTTACAATTGATTGATCATTAGGTGGTAATCAATGTCAAGTATGTCAGGTCCTTCTTCGTGCAGATCGAATCCTGTTGACCAAGTTGCAAAGGTAACATCTCTAACTGTGAAGCTGGGTGACACGGAATCGAATCCGTCAGGGAGCATCAGTTCCCTGAAGATTACAGGTACACCTTGCTGACGAGTACCAAGTAGCACGAAACCTAGGTCCAGGGTTTCCTGTTGACTACCTCTAACCACCATCGTATGAACCTATTGTTGGTCACTGGCTACCATGGGCATGCATCTCCTAACACTGCCACACTGTCTTGTGGATTATACCTCTAGGTCAAAGGTTCGAGGAATGGCTCCCTAATAAAGCCAGCTGTTTCGGTTTGGGGACCCGGGCATTATCCCAGTCCTCACAAATTTTGTGTGACACATACATATTTTGGTGCCCTTTTGTACCTATGTTTATGTCGAAATAAATAAAATTAGACTTCATGTATTGGTTTAATAACTTACTAATCAACTACTTGTTAATATGTAAACTGAAAATAGGGAATTTAGATTTTTGAACTCAAACTGTTGGGGATGGTAGATCCCCGGAAATCACTTGGTAGACATTTTATTCCTATAATTTTATCTTGGAAATTTGAGTTTCTCGTTTTTGTGCCAAAAGCGCCCATCTTCATCTTCATATTGTATTTCTCACTTAAAGGGACCCTAAATGTCATTGGTTCGTCCCCTCTTTTAGTATGCTATTTTATGACGCTTCCTAAGGACATTTTTGTGCCGTATATATAGGCTTGAGTTATGTGCCTGTTGTTATTCGTGCTTTTGGCTGTTTGTGGAATATACATTTCCCTCATCTGAACCAGGTCTTCTCCCTCTAGTTAGCGGGGCTGGGACGCATCGGAATAGTTTAGCTTGTCTTGTTATTGAGTCGCTGACTTTTCGTTCTGTTTCCCTATGTAAATGAATTCGTAATCTTTTCAAACATGGCATAAATAATACTAATAATCAAGAAAACAGATGACTTACCAGTTCTCAATCGACTAATAGGGGTTGGACAAGGAACTGAGTCCAAATGAAATGATGTGTTTGGAGTTGAACCAACACCAAGCCACCTGCTATCTCTTCTTGACTTAAAATTCCCACTTGCAGTTGTATGATCAATGACACCGGAAGTGTTCATAACACCTGGTAACGTTGCTGACGTCGCTGAATTAGCACTTGAACCAAGACTTGTTCGACCGACAGATGCGAAACCAACATTCGATTTAGGAGTTGCATTCGAGTTGAAATTTCGTAAACTACTGGAGCTCATATTTAAATTATTAGAGATTGATGAACAGTCTTTTGCAATAAGCTCCCCACTTTTTAAATCTGCTAACCGATCTTGATCACAAATAATTTCATTAACCTCATATGTGCGTAAAAGCATAGCATTGGTAGCAGTTATAGGAGTTGCCAACCCTATTTTGTGTTAAATAAGTTAAAATAAGTAAAAAAAAATTCAAGAAAACTATATTTTACATTAATTAATGCAAAACAATTATTGAGTACTTGAATTTGAGTCACAACTTTAAACATGAAGATTAAATTGATGTTTAGTCTCCCAAGTTCAAGTTTATGGGACTTTGTTGATCATATAACTCACTACTTAGGAAATAAGCATTTCAACTGAATGGTAACAATTCAAATGTCTTTACAGTTTTTGGGCAACTAGCCTCATTTATTTGAAGCTCTACAATGTTGAATGGTATATTTCATTTGAATGATTTAGAGTATATCGAAACCAGGATAAAAACTATTACCACATAATAGAGAATTACTATCAACCATCATCTACACAATATACTCTAAGTAAAACGTATAATAATTTTCCTTTATCAGCATTCTAGCAAACTTGAATCACAGAGGAGAACACATAGATATTGGTACAAGGAGGCGCCAAATACATATGCGCCACATAAATCATTCGATTTGTGCAAGGGCTGTGATACTGCCCGGGTGCCCAAACCGAAACAGGTGGTTTTCTTAGGGGACCACTTCCCGAGCCTTCGACCTGAAGATCTGATCCACAAGGCAGTGGAGCATCATAAGGAGATGCACTCTCATGGAAGCCGGTGACCAAGAAATTGGTTCATACGCCATTTGTTCCTTCAGGATAGTGGAGCCCATGTGCATCACTGGTTTGGGGTCCGGTTAAAGCGCCGGACATTCGCTTTTCGTCCTCTCATTTGCGTAAACAACACACCGGTCACGTGAAGGCAGTGAGTAGGACTTCCCTGACAGAGGCTATATACGCGTGGCCATGTGAGAGCATTTGGAGAAGGAGAGCGGACTCTCCCCATTCTCGGCTGTACCAGGGCATTCGGAGGCTTTACTTATAAATTCAATCACTTACTATAACATTCCTAATTCTACACTTAAAACTGAATCCTGAAAAGAAGAAAAACATGTAGTAAGCTTTTTTTAACCAAAATAATTAAAGTTTAGTGAATATTTCACCCATTACCATGATAGTGAGGAATTTCCAATACCTTTAAAACGATCATCGAGCTGGGTTTTTGTGTAAACATTATCAACTTTTTACAGCGTTGCACATTTTGGACCTGGGAATCAAGGTCTGCACTTAAAATACGGACAATGAAATATTGGGATAGTTGAACACAAACTCAGATGTGTTGAGAAAGGAAGTGTTTGATTCTATTTGTTATAGACTGTCTCTTTCTTAAACGTTTCAAATTAAATTAGATCGACGAAGATTGTCAGAACATGAACGTAACATCTCATTAACAGAATACTCGTCGCACAAATTATCTGATGACGAACTTGAAAAATTTAAGCAATATGTTGATACTGTTGTGAGATGTTCTTATGACATGACTTTGAAGCTAGTAAACAATCCTTTCTCAACACATCTGAGTTTTTGTTCAACTATCCAAGTATTTCATTATCCATATATCAAATACAGACATTGATTCCCCGGTCTAAAATTTACAACGCTAGAATAAGCTGATGAAATTCATCTACTAACCTAATTCGAAAAACTCATCAGGCAAATTTCAGAAGAAATTATATTTACTCACCCATTTGAATTAGTTTCTCTTTTTCTTCGGGAGTAACTAACCGTTTCCATAAATTTGGATATTTTTTAAATAATTCTTTACGAAATAAGCGCAGATATCGACCCACCTAATAAATAAAATAACCAATAGTGATACTATGAATTCGTGAAACTACCACTACAGTAGTTTATTAAATCCTAGTGTCAATCAGAAATGAAGCAGTTTTAGGAAGAAAACATACAGTAGCATATTAGTTCAATTTGGATAACAAGAGAGTAAAGATTACCACACGTTATACTAACACAGCGGGGTGATCAATTCTGTTCACCAAAATCAACAACAGGAGATTATGAAATGTATTCACTAATAATAGTTAACGCATGATTTGACAGCTTGATGAAGGAATAACGTTGTAAAGTTTGGAATGATAAAGTGGATTCAGATTTTAATGAGAACATCAAAATTTATTAAAATATTGATATATTTAGGCAGCGAGTTTCACATAAGTACCCACCACTAGCTATCAATATAGAAATATCCCGAAACAGATAGAAAAGTCGTTCAGGTTCACATGTTTCAAAGTTAACTATAAAAATGTCACGGTTTTATAATTTCATAATAAAATCTGACGATAAATGGATTATCAGTTTAGGGGTTGTGGAGATTGTTAAATTTTTGATTGAAATCATGAATCAAAATTCTCGGAGTTCTGGTGAGAGGCCGTGACCAGTGGAGCTAATCCGTGTCGGGTAGAAACAGATGTCTACCTCAGTACAATGGAAGATGGTCGCGCAATTTCGTGGATTGGTTGAGGTCAAGGAGAGCGCCAATATAATGCGCCACACAAAACAATCAAAATTCGAGAGGAATACAAAGAAAGAAAAAAAAGCTAAGGAGCGCAACAAAAAAAAGAGAGAACAATAACGAAGAGATTGGTGTAAGGTAATGTGCTAGTAATCAGGGAACGCAAAGGAACAATCGGAAGAAATCTTTCAGGTAAAGGAGACACAACCACTTTTTAATGAAGAAAGTAAAAGAAGGTTACAGCAGGATCGCCACTGGCTTCTATTCTGAGCCATATCTGATAACGTCTCTAGCCACTGTGCAGCACCATCTCTCAGACCCCAACCAGGGAGTCGTGAAGGACCAACACAAGCCAGTCCTTTGCAGCTTTCTTTCATACCACGACACCATGTCATGCACTGACCACCTCTCCGCTTCTTCCAACCAGTCCCAGAGTCGGCAAATAATGCACGGCGTGGAATTCTCTGGGACGACATTCGGAGGACATGTCCAAGCCACCGAAGTCGGTGTTTCAAGATGGTGACACCAATTGAATTATCATCTCTGTGCCCGAACACACGATGCCGAACCTCTGCCACTGAATGTCAGCAATCCTTCGGAGACAGCGATGATCGAACACAGAGAGTCGTCTAACGTCCTCAACTCGGAGAGGCCAGGTTTCACAAGCATAGAGCAGAACTGCTCTCACCGACGCGTTGTAGATCCGGCCTTTTACAGCGAGACTAACGTCACGAAGGCACCAAAGGTGGTCCAGATTGGCATAAGCCGCTCTGGCTTTCACTATACGTGCATTGATCTCATCACTCACGCTACCACCAGCACTTATGCAGCTACATAGATACACGAACTTCTCGATTACTTCTATCTGCTTAGCATCCAGGGTGAGTACAGGATTAGAATCCTGCCAGTTTTGTAGAAGTACTTTGCACTTCGAAGGTGCAAAGCACATACCATACTTACGGACACAGACTGCCAACTGATTAAGTGCGGATTGCATGGCGTGGGCATTATCGCACAGTAAGACAATATCGTCCGCATACTCAAGGTCGAGAAGTCTTTCTCCAGGCAACAGATCCACACCACCATTACTTACATTCATCAGAGCTGTTTCCAGAATGTCATCGATGGCAAAGTTGAAGAGGAATGGTGAGATTGGGCAACCCTGCCTAACCCCACTGCTCGAATGGAACAATGGAGAGAGGTGGTTGTATGCCCTCACTCTGCCTGAGGTGTTTATATATAGGGCTTTAAGGATGTTAATAAACTTCTCAGGCACACCCTTCTTCAATAGACGATCCCAGAGAACAGTCCTGTCCAACGAATCGAAGGCAGCCCTGATATCAAGAAACACTACGATTGTTGGCCTTTGATAAGTATGATGGTGTTCTAAAATTTGGCGGAGGGTGAAGATATGATCAATACATCCTCGACCAGAACGAAACCCAGCCTGCTCCTCGCGAGTCAATCTTTCTCGGGTTTTGAACAACCTACGAAGTATGATGGAAGCCAATAGCTTGGACGCAATCGAAAGTAGACTCATCCCCCGATAGTTGTTACAGGAACGACGTGAACCCTTTTTAAAGATAGGGACAACTATCGACTCATTCCATGACGTTGGTACCCTCTCTAGTTCCCAGACCTTTGTAAACAACGTCGTCAATTCCTTAGTCAGAAAGTCACCACCATCTTTAAAAAGAGCCGGAGGTAAGTCTTCTGGGCCCGGTGATTTGTAACGCTTCAGGAGTTGGAGTTCCTTGCGGACTTCCGCCTCATTTGGTGGGCAGGACAGTCTGACCGATGTTGCCGGAGCAGCAGGCCAGTTGGACTGCCCTTCGAAGAATTCTGCCTATCGTCCAAGATGTCAATGGATGTTAGTGATTGGCATCCCGTCATTCTCGCAGATGGCTTCGCTCACACCAGACTTCTTGCTGCCAGTGGCTCGGATGAGCTGGAAGAGCTTCCGGTAATTACCAGATGCAGCTGCTGCTTCCAGCTCATTAGCACGCTTCGACCACCAGGCTTCTCGGTCCTTACGCAAGCTTTGCTCGATTTCCTTACGTAACATCCTTCGTTTATGGTCAAACTCACGGTCACCCGGAGTAGACCGACGGGCTTCAATGAGTTGTAAGGAACCAGAAGAAACCCAGTGCTTAAAAGCGGGACGTTTCGCAAACCCACAACTGACTGTTCCCGCCATTTTCATGGCGTCATGCAATTGCAACCAATGCTCATCTATACTTTTCGGTGGAATGGTAGCTAGCCTAGAAGCTAACTCGATTCGATACCTACAAGCAACAGAATTTGCAACCAGCTTGCTGACATCAATTCTTTGGTGGTGGTCACTTCGTTGTCCACTGAAAAGTAAGGTAAGATTGACGCAGATCAGGGCATGATCAGAGTCCAGATAGGTATTTCAAAAGGAGCGGCAGTCTTGTACACAACCACGCCAGCGGTAGCTGATCGCGATGTGATCAATCTGAGTCCAGGCTTGGGATGCAGAGGGAGGACGCCAGGTGGCACATCGGCGATGACTGTGCCGAAAGTTAGTGCTAGCCAGAAACAGGTTGTGGTCTGTGCACAGTTGCAGTAGACGGTCCCCGTTATCTGACCTGCGACCAACAAGTCCCCATCGGCCACCTAAACGACTCTCTTCTGTGCCTAGACGCCCGACCTGAGCATTCAAGTCTCCGGCTAGTACTACAATATCTGTCGAACGCACTTTCTGGAGAACAGATAACTGGTGGTAAAACTCATCCTTGATTGCATCCGGGCTGCAATCTGTCGGGGCATAGGCGGAGATGACGAAAAGACATCGTTTCTCACGCCGATTTCTTCTCACTTTGATGGAACTTTCTAATCTAACAGCACATAACCGACTGTTAATGGGGATCCAATCGACTAGTGCTGCCTCAGCTCTAGCGCTTAGTGCGACACCAACGCCTGCAAGACCAGACGAAGATGCCACAGGGTCCCCGGATAAGCGCACGTAAAACAAGCTTTTTGAGGTTGAGGTCAAACATTAACACCATTGGATGCCGGCTCAGTGGTCTAGTTGGTTAAGCGCCTGGCGCGAGACTGATAGGTACTGGGTTCGAATCTCGCGGGGTGCGGGATCGTGGATGCGCACTGCTGAGGAGTCCCATACTAAGACGAAGTGGCCGTCCAGTGCTTCTAGGTTTTCTATGGTGGTCTAGCTTCAATTGACTCATGATTTCAATCAATAAATGGATTGTAAAATTAGTTTTTAATAAAGAGTAGCATCACCAAAATATACATGTGATCTTCCTTGTACTAGTGTTTTTATTATTGTTATTGCTACAATTCTTAGGTTTGAGATGCTTTATTAAATGAACTAGCAATATAAAGCTGACTATGTGTAAGTTCTACTATTATTACACTCAGATAACCCTTAACTGATAACACAGTGATGTACCACTTGTATTTTAACTGCAAAGAAGGATTGAGATGGATTCACAATATAATTTAACGGTAAATTCCTTCTCTTTGCAGGTATACTTTTTATAATACAAAGCCTTGATTCAGTGATCTATGTATTCGGCTTTCGACGGTGAATGTAGCAGAAATCTGCTTAATCTATCAACGGTAGAGGAGCCAGATAAAGGTGTTAATCCAGAAGGAATGTGTACGACTCAAGGGTAAACACACGACCGTGCACATGGTTGCTGAATTTCAACACACCTACATCGTGTTTGTTAATTAATTCTGCAGTCAAGATGCCCAGATACGGATTCTAGTCGGTAAGAAAGTGATAAATTTGTCAGTGAAGTTATTTCTATTCAAGAGAGGGATAGTGCTGAAAAAGTAAGTTGTATTTATTAATTATAGTACCATTTTTTAACTAAGCAAAAATTTATGTCCCTTCCTCAAAAATGGGGCTTCTCAGTCGTTTGTTTTTCTTTAAGTCAAGAGATGGATGAAACTGGTGGGTTTTGCCGATAGAGAAGATTATTCCAACCAACATAAATCTCCATCTTGAGGGATGAAGTCGGATATTTCATGATTAATTACTGTCAAGTATTTAACTATACAGTGAATTATCTTGAACTATTCTCCCAACTCGCCTGGCGTTACTCTCGGAAGCAGACAGATAACACACAAAACGTCACCTATGTAAATTAATAGCTGACTACTTCATTTGACGGTTTGTTGCTATTGACATTAAATGCCTTTATCCTACTTAGTAATAAGATAGACGAGTAAGTAGTATTTTCATTGGCATCTAATCTATGATGACAAGAAATATTATACAATTTCCAAACAATAGTATTTAATGGGGACTCGAGTAGGTAACATGGTGGTTGAGATTGAGGTGCTTAAAATACATTTCCATCACTTACGCATTATTCTAAGCGTAATCCTGACATTTTTCGCTACATGGTTTCAATAGACGAAGTTGTCAAACCAAAAGGATTGGTACTCAAGCAACATAAACTTCTTGTAGTATGGGACATTTGAAGACAAATGTACAGACAAACATAAACCATATGAGATACAGAAGTGTTATTTAATTGGTTAGTAATTTCGCTGAGGTTCTGTAATAACGAGTCATTGGTTTCTGTACGTTACGTATAATGGTCGAAAAATTTCCCCTAAATACACGACGTAAGGGGGGAAAAGCGACATTTCCCCTTTCTTTGCCTTTATTTTCCTTTTATTGGTTGCTTGGGCCCTATTACAGTTACTGCTGTTCTAGAATAATCGACTGAGATGGCGAACTGTTGTCACGCATCTTCCACATTACTTTCGAAGAGTACATAAGCACGAGCACTCAACTAACTTTACACTTACGACAACCCAGAATTAAAAACATGACTCACTTCTGATGCTAAGTAAAAGTATTCACCGTCAGACTCCAGCTGAAACTCGACCGGCTTTTCTCCGTAGCGGAAGACTGTTTCCATCTCAACTCTGAAGAAAAATTTAAAAGAAAGGAAGCTAAAGGTGATGAGTTGAATTTAACAATAGTGATGTTCAACTGTCTCAGTACGTAAACAACATTTTCGTATCATTAGTTTTTTTACTGTGATGAGGCTATAATTTATTGACGACGTTTGAGCGACGCTAAAGTGACCTTGAGAGTGTTTACCCACTTACTAGTGCAAAAATGAAGGTTATAAAGCAATGTGAGGAATTAAAATTATGATTTTCAGTTGATGGTTAGGGTTAGGAATTAGATTGAGAGCTTTCATCACGAACTGACATCAGCTAAAATGCCAAAACGCTCTTTAACCAAATGGAAGAATGGATTTCGCACCAAAACCCAAGACCCAGACATTCAACAAGTATGTGGTGTCATTTACTATGTTAAGCCCACATAATTTATTCTAGCTTCTGGACAGTCAAATTTATCAATTCTTCTTGAGTCACGTTTTGGCATTGTTAATTATTCACTTATCAACCTTGACTATTTTTATATGAGCGTATGTGTGCATATCTTATCCTACTCATCACATGTCTGTAGCTTATTTTTGTGTGACTATAAACATTGATTAACGCTCGACTAAATGTTGTCTCACATGTCTCCACTGCGAGCCGTCTCGTTTCATTCTCTTTTCTTCACTTCCTTCTCTACGTCTTATTATCTGTTCCCACCAACTATTGTACAAAACATATGTATTCGAAAATCCATTCTGGCATTCGACTTACGTAATTTCGTTATTCACTAACGCGATACAAGTCGATAATTATATACGAGAATAATCAGAATGTATATTTCCATAACAATCAATCATACGATATTACTGCAGTCAGAAACGGGCCACAAAAAGTTAGGTGCCGCCATATCCACTGCAGTATACACAACCTTAATGAGAACTAAGCTTGAAAACTACATTCAGGCTGCAAGCCTCTGTTTAAAACGCGACTCAGATATCCTGGAAAAAGTAAAGAGGGTAGCTATCAGCGAATACCAGAAAAGCTAGACCTCCTTACTTTGTTCTATCGCAGACTAAGGTGATCCGAATTCGATATATAGAATATTAGGAAATGATTTTGGACCTACTATATCCTCTCTTCTTCCCACTAGATCAGAACATCTCAGAGGATACAGAAGGCTAGCAGAAAAGTCGAGAATGAATAATATGCCATCCTACAATCCCTTTGACAAGCAAAACAGACAAGGTAAAACATATAGACGTACTGACCAGATTTCGTTATTAAATCTATCTTTGTGTTAGAGCTGATGTCAGTTCGTGATCAAAACTCTAACAGTTCATGAATAAACGTTCTTCATCTGGCAAATTGTTGACCAGCAATAGTTAAACTGGTTTTATCCTATGAATTATTTCACAACCAAATGATTCTTTCGTTGTCTGAAAGGTATGACAAGACAGGCCGCATACTATAGAGTGTACCAAGCTTACGTATAATATTTAAGAAATCGAGACTAGAACTGGGATGTTGAAAAGCGAGGAAGGAAAAATCGAAACTTACTATGTGACGTAGAAGTGCTATTTACAATCAGGACAACGAAGAGATATGCAAGTCAGAGGCAACTCAAGACCGGGTTACATCTCCTGTAGCGCGTTAGTTAAACTCTCTCCCTTTTTTCCTCCTACTCTTTGTCCAATATACAATAAATAACGTTGTTTAGAACTAGAGCAAACCGGTTTATATTTATGTGCAAGTCTTATGACGTTAAGGAAATGATTGAAGTATCAGATGATTTCCCAAGTAAAAGTTGTGCAAACTAGTGCAATAAATCCCGGTAAATTTGATTAGTATCTGAAGGCTGATATTTCGAAATTTATTGGTTAGAACTAAAGAATCAATTGCCCCCTTAGGTCTGTATCTTAGAAGAGGTAGGTTATACCTAGACACAGAGAGGTATGGTTTGTGTAGTTTTCTTTCAGTCCTAAAGGGACTGAAAAATGAGATAAATGGAAATAGGTTTGACTGAATGCATGGCGTTTGTTCGGTGGCTAATTTAGGAGTTCAGATTTATATTCGTTGAAAAAGATGGGGGGTTCACAGATTCGCCTGGGAATTGAGGTGTCGTTCCGCGAATGAGTTGTGCCGTAGTGTATCAAACGTCGGTTTTTACTGTATTGTGTATTCCGAGAAACACGTGTGAAATAATGTCAATTCATTGTGACACATTTGCAGTAAAAACTAAGGCCTTCAAATGCCAACGGAATCACTCTACCAAAGCGTTAGTTTGTAAATAATAGACTTCATCTTAAAAGTGGGATTCCTGGTAGTATAGTAAGACAACGGAAAAGTCTAGATTCCAACTGACGTCCACGTTCTGTAGTGATAGTAGAAGGACAGCCGAGGTTCGACGAAGGCGTGAGCCACAGTTTCAGTAATGGAGTCCTTGATAGGTACTGCTTCTGGCCATCATACGAAACGGTCTACACATGCTAAGACGTAAGAATATTAATTTGAATCTTGTATAGGTCCTACCAAATCAAGATGAACATGGTCGAAGCAAGCGTCGGGAGTTACAAAAGGTCCAAGCGACATTTGTTTTGTCTGATTACTCAAGGCTTTTGACAGCGCATGCAAAAACGTGTCTGCTCACTCATGTCTTTATTCGAATTTGGTTAACAAAATAGTTCTGCTATGAGCTTGATGGTTGCTCAACATTTGGTATGGAGAGAAGGCAAATTAGACCCAATTAAACTATAATACAACATTGCTGAGGCCGACTAAAGAAATGCGACTTGTTATTATTCCTCATTTTCACCTAAACTCTGTCGACTAATTTTCACCTATGTTAACCCATCTTTCTAATAGTCTGTATTGTGTTATGATATTTATTAGTGCTCAAACCTTACTAGCTCAGTCGATACTAATAACTGACCACTTTTATTTATGATTAGCTATGATGGTGCATTTGTATAATAGTGTTATTTTTTGTACTGCTCTAATAGTAGGCCTAATCCTAAAATTATAGTTTTATCATGATGCAACTGCCTAGTTCATATAATCCTACATGGAAGTCACATCGTTGTCTACACTGACTCACCATAGATAACAATCACCAACATGTGATAGAGAACACATTTGGGTTGGGGATAGGACAATATATTTAACATGAACAAAAATGATGTTCAACCCTATTCTAAACTGCGGGAGATCCCCTGATATCTTTTCTTTCAAACACTGCCTGTCTAATTCCCAATTTTCGAGTTCCATTGCCAAAGAACGAAGACAATATTCCAGAAACCTTTGGTGGGTTTAAGCTATAAGGCTTCTGCAAACTCAAGCTCATTTCAGATTGTTCGTATGGTGAGGACCAAGCATTGATCTGGACTCTCAGATTTGTACTGAATAAACCGAAAAACAATGTCAACAGCATACACATCCCTGAATTAGTCGCAATATTGCGTATTCAGTCTGGTTACTTTCGGGTCCTCGCTATATGTCACAGTTAGCATTCTATACATAAGATTTATTGGATCTTATAAATTTCCGAAATAATGCGGGCGGATTTTACTATTTCCACAGACGATTCGCCACGCTCTCGATACTTCTTAACATGTACATATTTTTGTTTGGTCTATTCATATATATTTCATATAAACCACCTTAAAAACGGCTTACTACATAAAAATATTCAATGGCTTTATACGACAGTATACTGCCATGGAAAAGTGTTTTCAGGCAAATCATACTAGACTCAACATCAATCTGACATTTCTTAGTACTACTTACCATTGACACATATTTATGAATGTCACTGGGCTAATTACAGTAACTGCTTATGAAAAGTTTATATTTTCTCCATCAAGTTCCTAAATGTAGTGACATACGTCATGAATAAACTTTTAAATTCTATTGTTGGGTTTCTCAAATTTTATGTTCCACATCAACTTACACGTCAACCTAACTTGCACATACATTATATTATCTCTGCGCCGTTTAAATTTAGTGATTATTAGAATCACCTTTAACATTTTTCACTGAACCCATCGTGGCACATAAGTTTATTTGATTTCAGAAACTTATACTCACTCAATTTCATACGAACCGATCTATATATTATCTCAAACTTGATGCTTGAAACTGACTCGTATGCAGCACCGAACATTATGTGTGAAAAGAAAAAACTGCTTTATTGCCAATCAGAAAATTGAGTCTAGAGCGTGTCTATCACGAGTATACTCACGTTCAACGAACTATCGTCAGCTATCTATCCAAAATTCACATAATTGTCGCTATTTTAATGAATTAAATGAATTTTGGATAACAGTCTATATATTTTAGCAATAATATTAATATCTCCGTAACCAAATAAACCGCATTAAACATAGCAAACTAACTGGAACACTAGTCGGAATTATTCCTCTCAGCGGTTATACTTCTGTTTATTCCGTTAACCTATTACTGCAGGTGCAATCGGAAATCGAATCATACGTATAGCGTACCTGCGTAGATGTCGAATGGCTTTCTAGTCTGCACTAAAAATAATACTAATATCAACATTGATACAACATTGATGTTTCTCTATCTCTAGCCAAAAAATACTTATACTGCCTGTCAGATCCTTTTCGATTGTTTTGTATATGAAAACCCCTACACATATACACTTGTAACTTATCCCTCTTGGTTCCTTCAAATACACACTTTGTCAATATTTCTAATTCGATTTGAGTTGGTGCCATTCGTATTGTATTGCAGTTTTTGTTTTCCTTTCGCCCTCACTGAGTTTTCATGCTTTTCATGAACTACAATTATGTTGTTTTAGTTGACAGCTAGTTATGGCGACAACCATATTGATTCGCTCCCTCTTTTGATTGTGTAGATTGCTTTGGCTAGAATTGTGTAGTTTTTTATTGTGAATCGAAGCACTCATCCATAATTTGTGACTCTCCGTGTTATAACACAATTAAGTATTACCTTTTGAATGAACCTGTATGTGACCTACTCAGAAATGATAGAATAACGTCCATTTGTTGTACTTCATCTGACTACTGATTGAACACTTATTCGTTGGAAAACTGGATGGTAATATTTGTTTGATAATAATAGTTTATTCTCGAGTAACAGTCTGTGACATGATTTACATCAGTTTACAGGCAAGATGAAATTGTTATAGAGAAGATCAAATTGTTAGAAAATTTATTCATCCATTTACCTTGTTTTGATTTCAAATGGGCGATAGCGCGAATCAAAACTACCTGAACAGTTATTCTTCATTTCAAATCTAGTTTATTCTATTAACCAGTGGCTATTACTATGCATCTTCATATAACTTGTTTAAATATCTCGATAATAAATCGTTCTTCATTGTCATAATCCCACCTTGTTTAATTCTTAAATAACCTTTGCGTGGATTCTCATTTTAAGCGTGTTAAGAATCATACCAAACATATTTGAAATTACTTGTATTTTCTGAACAGTTGCTGCAGCCTCTTTTTTTATTTATCCGTCATTTCATCAAAAACCAGGGGATTTTATTACCATTTTGGTAACTTCCGGCGCACGACAACTTCATTCAATTTGGTGTCGAATTAATGTCACGTTGATTCTGGTTGGAGGGTAGTGTAGTGGTATTGATTCCTAACCACATGATCGTTTGAAGCCAAGTATATAATTACCGAAAAGATCAACATTCGATATGTAACACCTAGAGACGATCAAAGTTGACGAGCGCGAGAAAAATTGATCGCTGTGGCACAATTCAGCATTGTACGCATGGTCATTATATGTAGCTTATCCCTATTCGCATCAAATATATTATTCAGATGTGTCTGTGGCGATATTAGTGGGTGCTTTGATGTCCTGTTGTGAGAGCATAGTCGCTTTTGCTCATTTTCACATTTCCACAAAACTCGTCTGTCAAGGGTTTGTAGTGGCATTGGACCCTGGCCACTTTAGGACACTGCCGCATCAGGGAATCCCATTTTGGCAGTTGTTTGCTCTGTACCGACATAGGTATCTGCGCGTTGTAGAGATTTTGCTGAGCGCTGAATGAGGAGTTTATGTAGACTACTGTCGTACTATCTGTCAATTATATGTCGTCATTATGTAGCTAAGAATCTCCAAGGTGAAATTTATTAATATTGACATCCCTGATGAGCCAAATTTTATATCAAACCATCACACTCTGACGTATACCATATAATACATTATTTTCCGTCACAACTTTCCCACATTACACAACAATTGAGTGGTAGATGCACTGAGTAAGTCATTTTAAGAAAGGAATCACCAGATAGAAAATCAGACTTTGAAAGGTTGGCCTCCAATCATCTTTTAAATTTATGGGGTTTGCTTCGTGTACTTGGATTCTGTCACTATTACCTTCTGGCGAAAACTTGTTGACAATTTGATCATCGAAAGCGTAAGTGTTGAACTCAAACCCAAGCTTCTCGTTGCCAAACTGTTCAGTAATCGGTTGTATGGTAGTTATCGAAAATTAACTTTGATTCACCAGTCTGAATTGATTTCCATAAGTTGTGAGACAGTTGTCACGAATCAAGTGTAATCGGTACTGTACCCAAATAGCTTAGAGTTACCTAAAGTAAACTTGGTTTGGAAGATAGGAAATAAGAGTATACCTAGTCTTATACTATAACCGTGTTGTAATCAAGATGGGTCTTTG